TCACGTGCTGTCCTGTATAATTGCAAGACTCCAGTGACCGCCTTCGGTGCCAAAGTGCCGCCCCAGTCAACAGGCAGCCTGAGAAAGCGCCATCGCGTGCCGCCGCCAAACTCGAGCGACCCGCTGCCTGCGCGTCAATCTGCAGCGTCCGTGACTGCGGAGCGGAGGAACCCCTCCGGGCCCAGTCGGCGACCGACGCCGAGTTGGTGACGAAGCTCCCGCTCCGTGCCGAGCGCCGGCCACCGCTCCTCCTCCACGGCGCGCGCGCCCCAGGCCCGTGGCGCGACGCAGCGACCTCACGCACGCAGCCGGCCGAGAAAACTCCAACGGGCCCCCCCCCCAACCCCCTCTTCCCTCCAAAGGCGATCGCACGCCCGCTTAACAGTCGGGGTAATATCCTTGCAAATATGTATTCATTATTATTGCATGCGGGAATAATTATTTTTCATGGAAAAGGAAGGAAAATATTCTGCCCCTTCCTCCACCCCCCCACCCCCCCATCGGTGTCAATATTTGAACGGCTGGAAGCTGAGCAGTCGTTCAAGTAGTTGGCGAAAAGTTGTGTCTGTGTGTGTGTGGCGAGCGGTGGCGCAGTGGTTAGCTCGCAAGCGCTACGAAGCTGGCGCACCCGAACGTTCGATTCCGGCTCGTGACCAACAGGAGTCGTGAATATCTGAACTCGTCCTGGGCTTCTCCCTAGGTCGACTCGGCCTTAAATGAGTGCGTAAACCACAGCGCTGGGAAGGCAAAGGCAGCTGGGCGGGCAATCGACGACCACCAACGCCGTTGTGTGCCGTGGCAGCCTTAATAGGTGCTCGCTAACGATAACTTTCTCCAACAACCTGTGAAGGCTCCATGGGGGAGGGGGGGGGGTCTTTGTTTCGCTTGGGGGAGCGGCGGTGCAAAGGCTTCGTGCGCCGCGCTGTGAAGCCGGCCCACTTGAGTTCAATGCCCGACCATGGCCAACGTCTTATTGGTATCTCAGTTTGTTCGCGTGGCTCCCCCCAAGGTCAATCGAGCATTGAAATGGGCACCTGGTGCGGTGTATAAAGAGAACAGCACTGTGGGGAGGCAAAGGCCGGCACCAGCAAGGGGTGGTGCCGGCCACACCACCCGCCTCGTGGCCCTGGCAGGCGCACGCTGCGGAGTCAGTCGCTTGCCCCAACAGCCCTGGCAGGCGCACGCTGCAGAGTCAGTGGCTTGCCCCAACAGCCCACAGCGGTGGCTCTCAACGTTTCTGTTGGCGACTGCTGCCCCCCCCCCCCCCCATTCTTGGATTTTTTTCAACCGAGTGACCCCCCCCCCCCCTTTTCCTGACCCAACATGGTTCTGAGTAATAAATGTATCAATATTTTAAACAAATTGTTCATTTCGCGAGGTATCGTAACTTAGCGAGTAACTGCAAGCGAATAAAAAAACTGTCAAAGGACGCTCTTGCTCGCGTCACGTGATCCGTTGAAACCACATTGTGTACCATCAGTGAGTGTATAAAGGTCTTCTAGATCGCGCAAGGTTACCATATGGATTAAAAGATTATCGTACTTATTTTGCATTGGCAGATTCATGCACGAGCATTCACCACTCATGATATAACATCACGCATGTAAAGATCACCTCGCGTACACCCTGGGTCATTGTCACGTACCCCCAGGCCCCGCTTGAGAGGCACGGCTCTACGGGGAGGGCTACGTGGGGGATGCTTTGAGTACGGGAGAGAGGAGGAAAGTCACTGGAGCTATGCGCTTTTAAATCAGCTAGATTGAAAACTCATATTTTAAGAACCGCTTTTTGTGTGTGCAATTTGTTGCACTTCCCCCATACCTCCGGTCAACGTACATACACAGATACGTAACTCTTCCAGCAGTAAACATGTGTCTGCTCCCTGTGCAGCACACGTGCCGAACACGCTGCCCAGAACTAGCGATCACCCGGGCGGATCGAAGTCAGTCTAATAGACAAAATACCCTCGTGAAACAGTGAAGACGATGTGTGTGTGTGTGTGAGTGAGTGTATGTGAGTGTGTGTGTGTCTGTGTGTGTGTGTGTCTGTGTGTGTGTGTCTGTGTGTGTGCGTGCGTGTGTGTGTGTGTTGAACTTACTTCGCACCGGACGTAGCCGATCGTGCTAATCGAACGATGATGATGATTTGGCACTTAAGTATTCTCCTCCACCGAGATGAAAACTCACACTTTGTGTTGACAAACGATGGAAACTCACACTTCGCGATGACAAACCATGAAAACTCACACTTACTATATTAAGTGTGCGGATGATGTGGTGATTGCTGTTCACTCGAAGAAGGAGTTAGAGATGATAATAATAATAATTTACACTTATAAGGCGCAATTCATCCAGGGATCTGACCCTGGAGCATACTACTAGGAGATGGGGCCTTATACCATTCGCCCCACAAAAACAAAGCACCTGCCTGGGTGTGTTATGTCATCAAACGCTCCCCTCCCTCAACTCCCCATGAGTGCCGGGGCATTTGTGGAGAGAGTGGAGAAGCTTTCATACTTGGGCTGCGTGTTCATGACCAGCTCTGGTTTGGCAGCCGAGGTCTCAAGCCGAATCAGTCAAGCGGTGTTATCGTTTCATCAGCTGCGTAACGCTGTGTAGAAGCCCCCTGCCATGTCGCTCCATACAAAACCCAGGGTCGTCTCGGCCACGGTTATGCCCTCCCTTCTCTATGCGTGAAAAATGTGGAGCTCTCTAAAGAAACACCTACGCTGGTTTCAAACATTCAGGCTAGGCTGCCTATGATCTCTCCAAGGTTTAACCAGACTGGATTGCGTGAGGAGTTCAGAGATCCTTGAAATATCTGGACACAATCCAATCAGTGAACTCCTCTGGCAAGCAAAGCTGCACTGGCTGGGTCATGTAGCCTCCATGTCCAGCCACAGCATACCCAAACAGCTTCTGTTCGGCCAGATAGATGGGGCAAAATGGCACGGCACGGACTACAGAAGAGATGGAGCTGATGTGGTACGGGAGGATGTGGAGTTGATTGAAGTTGCTGATCACTGGTAGCAGCAGTAACAAGATTGGCCTCTGTAGAAGAGGTTCGTGAAAAACGCTGCTCGCTCCAGCAACAACAAAGAGCAGAGGAGCAATGCTCACAATAACGAACTGAGCGCCGGGTGGATAAAACGTAACAAGTTGGCACAAGGGGCACAGCTGGTGCATCTGCCAGTCAGCTCGGTCAGTTAACCCATGGTACCTGGGTTTGTTCCGTGACCTGCTGCCAGCGGGCCTTCAACACTTCACGCGGCCTCAAAGTGCACCTGGCCTGGCACAATCGCAGTGGGGACGCCACTGCAACTTAGTAGTGAACGACGGTTGTTGTTGTTGTTGGTGGTGTAGCAGTTAATGTGCTGTGCTACAACACTGGTGACCCGGGTTTGATTCCCGCTCACGGCAAAGACCAGCAACGATTATCTGAACCAGTCCTGGACCTCGCCTCGGTCGACTCACCTTCACAAATCAGTACCTGGAGTGCTGTGTGTAAACAGCGCCACAAGGGAGACAAAGGCGGCCCTCGTGTACTGTGTCGACCTTCATAGGTGCTCGCGAACACCACCTGCCGCAAATGACTGTTGCGGCTATAGGGGGGATCTTTGTCTTTGTGTATATGGTGGGTGGACAGAGTTCAATTCCTCTCTCGCAGCCAACATCCGATGTTGAATATCTGAACGGGTTCCGGACTTCTCCTCGGTAAACTCAGCCCTTAAATGGGTACCGGGTGCGGTGAGTAAACGTCAGCACCGAGTTAGCACAAAAAGAAAGTCGGTTGCTAAAACTAAATCTGAACTACATGTGCCAAGCATATCTCGTGAAAGTCTCGAAAGCTGAAAGCGGAATTTTAGACTCTGTGAACGAATCCAGTTCTTATGGAATGCACGGTACAATTATAGGTTCAGCTTGCAACGCGTCGCTCGGTATTTTCACTCTCCCTCGACGAGAGAGCGAGAGCACGACCCACGATACACGAGGAGGAACCACAGACAAGCGGGAAGGCAGCAGCCACCCGGCGAACCGGCGCCAACAGTTCTCCAAGCTCTGCCGTCCCCTAGATATGTGGGAGGAAACTGCAACACTCAGAGAAAACCCAAGCGTGCGAGGGGGCAACGCTGTATCCTGTACAGACAAAACAGGTGCAGGAAACATCTGTGCTGTACTGCCTTTTCCGGGCAAGCCATGGTATGGCACCACAACGCCCAGCGCAAGAGACTTTTGCGACATCCGTGCGGTGATCCACTAACCCTCGCCACCTCCACAGCACCGAGTTACAGGCCGCGTGCATAGCCACCACCGCCTGAGCAATAGCGCGATATATTTATACAGTGTCTCATTGTTACTGCGGTTAATGACACCCGCATATAATAATAATTTACATTAACTTGTAAGGTGCCTTCCACTAATATGTCAAGGCACCTTGTTAGAATAAGGTTAAGGAAAGGCCAATAGAGACAGAGAAGCCAAATGGAATAAACTGACTTAAGACGATGTGGTTTTCAGACGAGCTAAGAACGAAATAACAGGCAGTAGAAAGAAACAGAGCAAAAGTGGAAGCACGTGATTTGTTCGAAGACGAAAAGACGATGAAGATAAGAAAGTAAAAAACTCCAACCATAAAACCAACTCAGGTATGGACGGGAGAGCGGCGAGAACGGCGGCCAGGCCTACCCGGTGCCATCGTGCTTGCGAGATGAAGAGTGGGACACTAATTTTTGTTAGAAACATAGGCAGTCAGTCTCGAGTCTCTACGCGAGTCACTGGGTCTCCGTGTGAGTCGATACAATAGGACGTGAATGTACATCTCAAAACACCGGAGTAAAGCATTCGGCATATTTCGTTTTACAGAGACGGAACGAAAGAGGTCATCGGTCAGCCACGGGCAGAGGAGAAGAGGAACGTCCGGGAGTTTGGACTTGAACAGGGGCAGGTAGTCGGCATCATGGACAGCTGGTGGAGGTGTGGGACCGGCTTTGAGCGGCTTACCACTTTGCGCTTGAGCTTCGGCTTGCCGGCCTCCCCGTCGCCTCCGTGCGAGTCCGCCGCCACGCGGCACAGGCTGCTGTCCAGCGACGAGCTCTTACGCAGCCAGCCGCATCCGTCCGGGTCGAGGCTGTCCCCGGCACTTCTTCCACCTTCTCTCCCTCCTCCCCCACCCATGTCGGCGCCACCGCTGCCGCAGCCGGCACCGCCTCCACCTCCGTCTCGCTGCCAGCAGGGCTCCCGTTGTGGTCGCCAGCCACCGCCTCCACCGTCACCACGGTGGGCGACGTCCCCACCAAATGCACAGCCCCGGAGTGGGCCACCCGCCTGCGTGATCGCACCGGCTGCAAGAGAACGTCCGTGCGAGTTGAGCACGCACCGCGTCACTAACAGAGCCGGGCTTCAAAAGTGGACTTCACGAGCCGCAGGTGGCGCTTTGCCGGCCGGCCGTACATATATAGCGATCATTTATTTAACCAGGACATGAGATCCACATCCCATACCTGTAAACCCCTTATCAGTGCCCTACCTTATCACAGACCAATTCAGACCTTATGGGTCACCCCGTGCCCTTATACATCTAAACGTTCATCCTACAAAATCCCATCACAAGGGAGAAACACAAACAAATATATATTTATTTTGCCGGTATTGAAACGGGTGTACGACGTATGGACCTGAACACAATTTTCTTGTACAAGAATACGGGTAAACCGTTATGGGTTGACACGGTGTGAGATCCGTTCAGACACACGGTACATGTTTTGTGCCCCTCTTGCAAGGGCGACCTAGGTTCGTCAAGTCGAGGAGTGCTACTGGTGGCTAGGAGATGTTAACTCCCTCGCCTGGTATGCGGGAGGTCGTGGGTTCGATCCCGACCCGACGCCTGAAGTTTGCGTGTTCTCCCCGTGGTCGCGTGGATTTTTCTCTGCATTTAGAATCAACATCGCGCGTTTAGAATATTTGGCTGCTATAAGTTTTACACGTGAAAAGCCACTTCGTTGAGCTATAGCATGTGTGGCCAGGTCGGTTTTGCTAAAGAGCTGTACAGCTCAGTGGGGCCTTAAATGGTTAACAATCTACATCGTTTTAGTTGTATAGTTTTAGAGCGTGCAACTCGCAAGCTGCGGTTGGCGCCTGCGGGTTCCAAGCACCGTGAGGATGAGAAGAAGTTTGGCGATGGGGAGACGCCGTTTACTCGGTCCCAGCAACGGCAGACGCGCTCACTCGAACATTCCGCTCGTGCACACATTTCATTAGCATATATATATTTGTCAGACAATACATTCACGCATTGGAATGTTGCACCGGTGCTGCCAAATGGGCAAATTACACGTGCGAGTCACAATAAGCCGCCACCGTTTGTGCACATGGGCCATGAATATTAGAATGAACGACTCTGTGCGGAGTAGATTAGTGGTGGTCTCATGAAAAGACTGGCCCCGTGATGGGAATGTGGAATCGTATGTGAATGAATGCACGTTGCAATGTTGCAACTATTTAAAACGTGTTTTGCTAAATGGTACAAACGTCTCAATGGAGAGACACAAACATTCTCGATTAGCTTGCGTGCATTTTGGAGGCCACATGAATGACAAACACGCAGTACGTGTAACCACACTGACGTTAACAGTGATCGATATCTATGGGACATTTTTGCCAGTATCAAATGATGGGAAAGAAAATTTATAGGCTTTGCAATTTTTTGATTGGCCTGGTGTAGGCCAATTAGTCTCAAAGGCAATGCATATGTTATCAGAGCATGTGCGTTTGCATATTTTCCCGCAAGTATGTGTAGTGAATGCAGACTTGATGCCTTGTCATAGGTATCTATTTGGTGTTTGAACATCTCAACACCTCCTGTGTTATATTTGTTTCACCAATTATAAATACATAGATGCGTATCATTCATTTCGATTAACTCTGCAAACGGGTCAGGCGGTAACCATTTCAAACACCAGCACGAGAGCAAAGCCTCCCCGCCCTGGGCCTTTCATTGTCAAAGCAAGTTTATCCACGCGACGAATTGCTTCATCTGCGACCAAAACCCCGTGACTGTAAAGGCGAGCGAGGCGAACTCGCCGCGTGCATCGCATACCAAGGAGAGAGATGCGATGTTCAACGTCGCGTAAACGTTTTTTTTTCCGGTTAAATGCCGACAAATAAAAAAAGAGGTCTGTATGCGTGTATCAATGTGTGTTGAACTTCTATCGCAAGGTACGTATGCAACCGTGCTAATTTGAGGTGCGTGTGAAGGACAACAAGCTAAACACAAAAAGCGGTTCTCAAGAAATGAGTTTTCAAACTGGATTTAAAAGTGGATAGCTCCAGTGGCTTCATAATATCTGTGGCACATTCATTCATGCGATTCCTGCCAATGTGCGTTTTCAATTCGGTCAGGTAGATCGATGGGACAGATGGCAGGGATGGGAGGGATGGGACGGATGGAAGGGATAGGATGGATGGGTCAGATGGGATAGTTGGGATGGATGAGATAGATGTGAGGGATGGAATGGATGGGACAGATGAGAGAGATGGGACAGATGAGAGAGATGGGACGGATGAGAGGGATGGGATGGATGGGTCGAATGGGAGGAATGGATGGGAGGGATGGAAGGAATGGGAGGGATTGAATGGATGGGTTGGATTGGGATGGATGGAACGGATGACATGGATGGGATGGATGAGATGGATGGGTCGGATGGGATGGATGGGTTAGATGTGTTGGATGGGTTGGATGGGATAGATGGGTCGGATGGGATGGATGTAAGAGATTGAATGGTTGGGACGGATGAGAGGGATAGGATGGATAGGTCTGATGGAATATATGGGATTGATGAGATGGATGGGATGGATGGGACGGATGGGAGGGATGGGACGGATGGGACGGATGGGATGGAGGAGGCCACTGCCCCACGTACCATGGAGGGGGGACGAGGGGGGGGGGTGTGCGGTCCACACTCTGGCACCGTTGGGAGGAGGAAGCAATTTCCATTCCGTGCGTACGTATCCCTCCGCCACACTCACGCTGTTTTGGTTTAACAGCCAGCGTATGTTTAGGTATATTTCAATGTTATAATGACCACATCAATCAGAAATTCCGAGAAAGACATCATGCTGACTGCTGTAAGCAAGTGGGCTTCAGTTTGCATTGCTCAATTGGGACATGCATAGATCATCGCTGCATGCCGTGAAAACTTGACAGGATCCTACTGACGACGAATCATGAGACTTGGTGAGACTTTATTGGGTAAACAAACGTCCTCGTAGTACTAATAAAAATAAAAAGGTGGACTTACTTCACGAGAGGAGGCGATGGCCGAGACTCACGACGGAGTTGGAGTCAAAGGAGTGAGCACGTGCCTGGGAGGACGTCGACAGTGGAGATGGAGCGATGAAATTAGTTCATGCGCAGGAGCGAGACGGTGAGGGGTGGGCGGCCTTCATCCAGCAGTGGTGAATAACAATCGTAGTTTCAGATTAGGGGCCGTCCATAAATGGCGTCACGCGATTTTGTACGATTTTTGACCCCCCCCCCCCTTCGTCACACGCCGTCACAAAAAGTCAGACCCCCCCTCAAATATGACGTCACAAAGCTCTGCCCCCCACAAAAAATGCTTCAAATCGCTTTAAACTAAGGCCGATAATAAACTCCCAAGTTGATGTGTTTTTGGATTCGGAGGGACGTGACTATCCCAGAGGAACCGGACTCCCTGACAGTCCCTCGGCAGAGGAGAGTTCCGCGGTGCAGGTGCCACGGCAGCGAAGGCCCCAAAGATCGCCCCCCGTGAACTCGCGCGCCGCCGTGGCGAGGAGATGTTGACTCCCTCGCCCGGTATGCAGGAGGTCAGGGGTTCGATCCCGATCCTGACGCCTGCTCTATATTTGGAGTGTGCGCGGTCTCCCCGAGTCCTCCGGCGGTTTTTCCCTTCACATTTAGAATCAACATCACGCGTTTAGAGTGTTTGGCTGCTATAAACTTACACGTGATAAGCCACTTTGTTGAGCTATCACATGTGGTCAGGTCGCTTTTGAAAACGAGCTGTGAAGCATCAGTGACCCTTACGTGGTAAAAAAACAAAGAGTTGAGTAATGGTTTAGATTATAGTTCTGGGATGCTGAGGAGATCCAAGTCCACCGGACCTCAGAGTTCTTGTTGTTTGGAGGTGCGAGATCATGCAGGGCCTTGCAAATGAGGAGGAGGGAGGAGGAGGACGGGGGAGGAGAGGGGAAGCGTGGTGAGGAGGGGGAAGTGGGGGGAGGAGGAGGGGGGAGAAGGAGGAGGGGGGAGGGAGGGGGCCCTTGAATTCAGAAGGGAATGTAACGGGCTGCCAGTAGTGATGCCAGCAGAGGGGTCATTTGTTTTGAATGAGGAGTTCGGTTCTGAATGGAACGATCGTGACTGTTGATGATGATGACGACAACGTTAGCGAGCTCGATCATTTTGTGTCAGGAAAGCAACGGGTTGACTGACTTCTGTGCACGTGACTGTTCTGTCCATCTGAGGGCACCTCCCGTGTTTTCAGTGACCCCCCCCCCTCACACCAGGAGTAGTCACGATGCAACGCAGCACACAGACTGCCAGCGAGTGCCGTTCCCCAGCGCTGTGGGCAAGGCTGTCAGCTGCCCGTGGCTGAACTGGGCTCTAGAGTGAGGATTGCATAGTCGCAGCCGAGTAACAAAAAAAACTGCGCAAAAACAACCATCATATTTAAAATATTTATAAATAGTTGGAGATGCTGCTGCTGCTGCTGCGTTGAAAGTGTTACACAAGCAGCAGCAGCAACAACAACAACAACAGCCATCGAACAAAGACGGTCACCGCATCGCGCGCTTTCAGATGTACTTCTGTGGCCGTCTGGAACGCTCTTCCTTCCGATATTAGGAAGCAACTGGGAGCGATACACTTTGAAATGATATAGATTAAAAACTAATTTTTTTAGAGCTGCTTTTTGTGTTTAGTTTGTTGTCCTTCCGCCCACCCCTCCGATTAGCACGGTTGGCTATGTACGGTGCGAAAGAAGTTCAACATACATACACACAACAAACTCAACACATTACTCAATAGCAACACTGTGTGGCCTGAGAAGGATAATCACACTATGCGACGTTTTGGGCAATTGCCCTTCTTCAAAGCGCGTTCATGATCGTCGTGTATAAAAAATGTTGTTTTTCTCACTTAACTTTGACAAAAAAGCCGACTCGTACAAGTTACAAAGTTGTCGCTTTCACTTTTGTCGCCACGCGATGACGCGTCAGCCTCGGCGCAGCGCGTGCGTGGGAGCGAGCCCCCCCCCCCGCTGTGTCGAGGGAGAGGCCACTTGGAGGAGGAGGAGGATTTAAA